GGAGGGAGGTTATCGGATTTGGTTTTCAAATATTTGGTAACTTTCTCAAATTCCCGGGGCCTGGCAGTCACCCTGCTGAATCCCGTAGTAGGTGGCTTCATCTCAAAATCGGTGGATTGGTAGTTTGACCCAAAAGTGGTGATCTAAGAATTTTTCTGTAGGGTTGGCAGGTATGGCAAAGGTTTTTTTTACTATATGAGCCTTGTGATGGAAAAGTGTTAAAAAGAAAAACCTACACTATCCTGAATCCTGGTCCTTCCCTGTCACCCATCCATTTGGATCAAGTTCACTCAGTAAGTTCATCTCTGCTTCTTTGGCCTTTTTTACATGACAGCAAGACGTTCTGCATCTTTATGTTGATTCTAGTGTCCCAGGAATTGGGTATTAAGTCTCATAAACACTTAGAAGTGCAAAGAAAAAAGTTCAGAATTCCAAAAAATGTCCCTGATATTGGCTATCTTTGTTATGAACCCAGGTCTTGTGTGTTTAAGGGGACATTTGTTTAAAATCATAATATTGATTCAAATGAAAAGATCAACAATTTCCTAATTTAGCTGTCAACAAAAACTACTAACTGGATAATTTTATTTTAATTTAGTAAACAAAATATAACCAGAATCTCACCGTCTCACATTCCCTCAGTTTCTTCTGAGCTCCGTCGAAGTCAAAGTCCACGTACAAACATTGAACAAACTCTGTGATGGGGTCCTTGTAGGTGTAAGACTCCTGGAAGAAAGAATTTTCAAAACTGTCAATGAACGAAAAATCAGAATCAATTATTCTCATGCAATATATGAACAATATTGTTTGTTTGTTTTAATAAGTGTTTTACGTCATTTGCAACACAATAAGGTCATAAAAGTGCCGAAGATTAGAGGTGTTACAAGAAAGTAACAAACACAAAAAAAGGAGGGGAGATACAGATGATATATGTTTGATAGGAAAGAAGAAGCAAACCACACCAGACCACCCGCCGACCACCAAGTTGATCCACATACTTTGATGTGAGTGAGGAGGAGCACATCAACATGTATAACAATTGTCATTTAGTGCAAAGAAAAAGCAAGCTAGACAGACAGATAGAAAAGAGGGGGACAGAAAAGCAGTAAGACCCAAAAGTCAAGTGCGCCCTCCAACCACCCACTCATCTAGATACACCACTGTACTTGTTTCAAGTCGTAACAATTAACACAAATACCAGGCACAATCTCTGAAAGTAATACATCATGTATAAAACATAGCTTCCTACCTGGTAATAAAACTGTAGAAGATTTTCGACTGATGTATGCCACATACACACACAATACCCTGGCTTTTGGCAGGAGCAGAAATTAAATATCTGACACAGTTAAAAATTGACCTAAAATTGTCTCTTTATCATAATGAAGTTTTACAACACACGGAAAGATTCTTCAATACTGGTACATATACATGTAGGCTACTTTCACTACTGGTAATGAAGAGAAGCTTTTCTACAAGAAAAATGCCTATGATTATCAGAAGTCACTAATATATGCATAAATTCCGAGCGTCCAAAACTTTTATCTTTTCAAACTGACCTGCTGAATGACTTTGACCAGATCCTTGAGAGCCGTCCTCCTCCTCTGTTTGTTGGTGATCACAGCCGTGGTCAGATAGCGCAGGATGTGTGGACACGTCGTCTGGATAGCATTGAGATACCTGTGGGATTGAGAATGTTGCAGTGAATTTTGCAGTGTGGTAATTAAACATTTCATTGGTTCACTATGTGCCAAAATACACTTTCACAAATGTTGCAAATAGATAACTCTTGCCTTCTATACTTTTATCACTTTCTGTTCTACATTTTCATCTTCTAAGAAGAAAAAAAACAGCCAGTGCTATCCTAGCATTTCTTGATTTAAACACTGCTGGGACACGCAATTTTCTTAACCTTTCAGTTCATTCTCCAGCTCTTGTCAAAGAAAGTTTTGCAATATGTTCACACATGACGATTAAGCAGCGACTCAGAGAGAAAAACAGTAAAATACATACTTTACTGTTCCGATGCAGCAGCCACCTGCATTCTAGCCCTTCGGCATGTTGATAAGGCAAAGAATTTACAGGTTTTTATCAGCAGTGATTTGTTGCTGTATAAAGTATTTCCGATTTCTGTGGCGGCAGGTAGGTAGGTGCTGCGCAGGTCGCTAAGTGCACGACAAGAAAAGAGAAGGTGTGATAAAAAAATAATTTTAAAAAGTACTGTTTCACCACAGCAGTCACACAGCCAGCAGTAAAATACATAAACACAATATATATAAACATGAACTCAGAGAGAAAGACTACCACTTACGTAGGGGTGTACAGGAACTGATCAATGATGAGGTCACGACCTTTGGGGTGGTTGAAATACACAAACAGACTCCAGTGGATCACCCAGGTTCTCTGTTGCAGTGTCATCAGATCAGAGGCAAAAGACTAAGAAGGAAAGAAATGTTACCAAATTATTCTGAATCAGAAGAAAAATGACTGACCACACACAACTGTATGAACATGAGTAAAGAGAAGCACACCCACGCAATGACCTATATAGTACACAAAGGAAAAGAAAAGAAGTAAGACAGTACAGTGGCATCTTCCAGCCACCCACACATACTCTCAGAGTAACAAAATTGTTACTGGGGAAAAACGGTCACATACATAAAAATCAGTTGCACTACAGGTTGAAAAACCAGCAGCTGACTACCCCCGAGATCAAGCAGTGGAACGCAAAAAAGAAGCAAATTAAACGACATGATCACTGTAAAATGTAATTAAAAATAATCAAAACAAGTAAATTTGGAAACAAATTGGTATTTTTTTAAATCTGTACAAGAAATCGCAATAAAAGGCAGCTTCATTCTTGAAAAAAATGATAGCTATACACCCCCCCCCCCCAAAATGTATACGGAAATTTTACAAGCTACTCACATTGCCATCAATAAGGTCCTTGACCTTATTCAAATCATCCAGGGCATAGTCCCAGTTCTGCATCAAAATCTCAGATGCCAGCTTGCCCCAGCAGGAACTCAAGAAGTTTCTGTCACTTGGAGGGATCTGAAATGATAACAACAAGTTCGCTTGTTTTAGTACAGAAAAGCACATAATGTCATAAAATATAGGGTCATTCAGTGCAGAAAAAAGAGTAAAACCACTGACAGGTCCTAATTCCTTTCTATCCCACCAATGTTACTGTCAATCTTGTGTTTTCACACACAGGGTCCCCACCAAATCCTGGAAAATTTTTTCAAGACCCCAATACGAAGGAAAAATCAGGCCGCTGCGCGTCAAGAATGATCCCCAAAAAAGCCAATCTATCAATGATAAAAAGTCAAAAGGTCTATAAATGAATGCAAATGTACATTTATTAGTATAGTCTTTAAACAATAGATGACTATTATAATACTGGGTGACTGCCAACTCAGCTTCTCAATTTTACAAGGGAGGGGGCCTCATCCATTTTCCAGGAACATGTTACATAACAATGAAAGCGTGAGCTCCATTTATATCTAATATCATAGAGGTCATGTATATGTCTGTGAATACACACACATGTAGGTACATTATATCCAGTCAACAACATGTCAGTGTGGCACTGGGATCTTGAGAGACTTTGCTATTTCAGTCTGTTCTTACTTATTTATATTTTCCCCTCATCATATTAGCCAACATAACAAACTATTACTATATAGCAATGACAATGAAAAATTAAATTTTCATCCGAATTGCTTAAAAATGGGCTTAAATGAAACTAGAGTAAATTCTAA